ATATATATATATATATATATTCACTTTTAATTTTTTTATTTATTTATTTATTTTTACAATCCACTATTTTTTATTTATTCATGCTTCAAAATATTTGAGTTTGTTTATCTTCTAATCAAGATCATTGTCTTTACAGATGTCAAGAAAAGTCAATAAAAAATTATATTAAATAACTTTTTAGTTTTTTTATTACAACTGGGTTCTTGTCCGAAGCTCAGCACATATATACATATACTTATAGAAATTTTTTTTTCAATAAAGTTTTTTACATGAATATTAAATAATTTTTTATCGTTCACATAATTTAAATTAACATTTTTCTCATTACAATTCGTTACGTTACATTTTATTGTTTTTTGTACTATACAATTTCAAGACTTCAAATATAATAAACATAGCAGATTCTAAACTTTAGAATAAAGCAACATATGCAAAATCTTCTGTTGGCCCTCAGGCTGAAAGAAATAATAAAACTCATAATTTATATACTTTTTTACTTCTTTGACGGCTATAAAAATGTTGACATTCTGTAGATAACTCGCTGGTTTCAGCTCGAATAAAAAATCTTAAGTGTTAGGTAGGCATATAATTTTTCAAACTCCGTTATATTTCAAAAGGCTCGCAAAAAGTGCACCCTGCAGTGTTTCGGCAGTAATTGCGACCGAGACTAATCGTCCCATTTTCCTTTCACCCGGCTGTAATTATTTCGTCGAAGGAAAAAAGTCATAAACATTTCTTTTGATTCTAATTATGTTTCGCATTAAACACCCCCGAGCGCTCCAAGTGCCTTTTAGGGGGTGGTTTCAAGTTTTGATATTGAAGCGGCATATTTTAATGAGAATTTAAATGAAATATATATGGACCGCATGATTTTTCATGAGAATTTTTAAGATTTATCTCTGTTTCAGATGCTCATTTTTGGGTGAATTATTTTCTCATTAAAACATATAGAATGCAATCGTTATTATATTTTTACTTATTATTTAGTTATTCATAAGTCACTCGTAATCATTAACTATAATAATTAACTTAAGCTGTTGTTATACTTAATTTGTAATTGAAGTATGAAAGTTAAATTAAATTAGAAACTTAAATTTGATTATATGTATAGAAGCTACACAAAGTTAAATCATATATCTACGTATATCAATTACACATATTAAGATTGATTATGAATAAATATTATTATAATTGGATCTACAACTCAATGTTTTGGATTTTGAAATAGAAACAACAGCACTAAAAGTATTATTAAAACACAATATACAAAATAGATTGCAATGAGTGTTATTGTTAACCTCCCGTAGGGCAAGTTATAGTAATCGCAAAAAAATCGAAAATGAAATTTTTTATATAACTTTACATTTCAAAGGTTTCTGAATATTTCGGCATACCTTAGAAAAAATGGATGTATGTGTGTGTGTGCGTGTGGGTGTGTGCAGATACAAATTTTCGTCGACGATTTCGGCAACACCGATCAACCGATTTGAATAATTCAAAAAAACATTCGATTCGTATTGATAAGGAGACGTGCTGATTAGTTTTTGGCGGCAGGTCTAGCGGTTTTGGAGATCTAGTGAAAATAGTAAAAAAAGCTATTTGGCGGTCAAAAATCATCTTTAGACATATGCATATCAAATTATAAGATATTTTATAGATATGTTAACAATAAGTATAAATTTTGTTTACATTCCTATGGGTTCCGTACCAATTACGCGCTTCGATATTTTGTCTCTATGCAGTTGAAGCAGTACCATTGCTTTGAAAAAAAAGTTCAGAAATACCAAGATAAAGAAAACATTTTTTTTAAATGTCTTTTTTTTTCAAAAAAAGTAAATTTTTGTCAAAAATTTATAGTTTCTCAAAAATCTAATTTTTTCAAAGTCAATTTCTTTCAAAAATGTTAATCTTTTTTAAAAAAAATAATATTTGGTGCGAAAAGTTACAGCAATTTGCCTTAAGGCACGATGCCATACGACCCACTAGTTAACGTTCTTGTATTTGGGTAATTTTTCATTATATATCCTATATATTATACATAGTTATATTACAACAATCATAAACAAGTTAAAACCATGTTTTCTGAACATATATATATATTTCTTTAAGCAAACGCTATACTATGCGTTTGACCATTCATTATAAAAAAACATGTTGACCTTAGGAAATTTCAAAGATTCGTTTTCATCTTTTCACATTCTTTCAGTGCATGCTATTATACTATAGAAATTTTAGTTTAATTTAAACGCTTATGTTTATCTTATCTAAAAGATGCATAATTTTTATTTTAAAATAATAATAATAAATTGGTTTGGTTTTTGTTAAATTGATTATTTAGTGTGCATTTATTAGGTGATATACAAAATTTACTTTAGTGTTTAATATGTTATTGCACCTAACTTTGTTTTAGCTGACGCATTTTGTCCTAAAAACTTTATAATATTAGATAAATTTATCACTGGTGATTAAATAATATATTTCAACGTATGCCAAAACTCGATATATGTACGTCTATATAGGAAATAGAAATCGATGCGTGTATGCAAATATCATATTGTATCGCCTCGTGATATCTGCATACGCGGCTGCCTTCCTGAAATATCTGACTAATAAATATACATCTGACACATCCGCATATCTATAACTTTTCTATTTTCATATTTTGGATTCCTGTCAACGGCTCCCGTTTCCTACATAATATACGGTTGTCGCAAATGGCATATTATGATATTGAATACTTTGGCTTTCACTTCGCGTGAGTTACTGCTGAGCTAAAGAAATCCGAAGGACCGAACAAGGCGGATACAACGAGTCACACGGACCTATTATACCTCATGCGCTCACACCCGGAATACCATGAGTATAATATCTCTGCATTCATAAGCAAAATAGTTTCACAAAAGGAATTGAAACGATACAACCGATATTTATAGCGACACGATTGATATTGCTTAGCTTAAAAAGTCATGATGATATATTCATTTTCTGAAATTTGTCAGAAACATGTTATTTTCAGTTTAGATATATTGAAATGAAATTTGGTGGTTGTTTCTACCACCTATGATGGAATGTGTTTGGGTAACTGGACCAGAGCGGATGATAATATAGAAGCACTGATTCTTGATTGATGTTGATACTTTTATTGTTTACAAAGAATAATTCTAATTCTTAACTCTGATTGTTATATACTCAATTAACGTTTACAAAATGTGTAATCTAACAGCAAGGACGGAAGAACTTCAGATAGCCTTCAAATAGCACGCAGTGCCTTAACAAAAATAATTAATCATATTTATGAATTTAAAATAATATATAGGGCAAGTAAGTGTAGTGTCAGACAGACAGACAGATAAAAAGAATTTATTACAATAATTGATCATACATTTTGCATTGTTATTTTTTAAATTAAACGAACTATATCAGAACACTTTACACGTATCAAATAAACAACTACCGAACTATGATCAGTAAATTTCTCAGTTAATTCATAATTATATAAATATATTTTTTAGCTATTTTTCTAAAATTGTCACCTGTCTCTTTTTTTACCCCGTGGCTGGTTAGAAAGGGACATTCGAGAGGTAACTGGACTTTTGTCTTATTTTTAATTTTTAAGGATTTGCACGAAATAATTGCTTTATTATTCAACCAATACAAAATATAAATTTTATGTTCTCATTTTTTACAGAAATAACACTGTATATGAGCTTGTTCTATTTTGTCAGAAATATTCACCAGAAGAGTTGGAATAATTATTTATTTAATTTATCTCTTCTGAAGTTGTTTTTTTAACTTAATTCACTCTTTTATTTACTATTTTTTATTGTTTTCACCCATGCCAAGGTAAATGGTCAAGTTGGTTTTTTCACCCCACCCTCGTGTAAGCCTCTATAGATGTTATATAAAACGGTTGAATATAATTTAAAATTAACAAAGCATATTAGAAAACAATTAAATAACATATACTCAAAAATTACAGTAATGTTTCGTAAACTAAACAACAGCCATCACAACCATCAAAACTAAAAACGAAAAAAAAAACTCTAATGATGGATTTTCAAACATAGTCGTTTATCTTTCGACAGCTACGTTGTCAGAATTTCTAATTTATTGTTAAAAAATCCTTAACTTTTTTGCTTTCTGACATTATTGATGGTAATTCAAGGTTAACTGTCATGAAAATAAACAAAAATCTATGCGGTTTGAAAGTTATGAACTTTTAAGTACAGCGAAGAGCTTTGGTCGAACTGTGTCTATTAATTCGGCTATTGTGGTTTAAGTTTTTTATTTTAATTTTTAACATTAGAATCAAAAACGTGAATAACATTTCTATGAAAACAGTAAAAATGAGGTCAAAGTTTTCTCATATAAGACTAAGATTATTAAGACTATTTATTGAGTATGATACTATGAGTTTGAAAGAACGTCCCTCAAAAAAATCTTACTGAAGTACATTGGCAAATTTTATTATAAGTTATTTGTTACAATTTGATTACAATTTAATTATGATTGCAAAATGATACAATACTTGTTAGGTTTATACTTGGAAATGAGTTAAAAATGAAAAACTAAAAAGAATTTTATATTTGGAGAGCATTTTACACGATACCAGTTCAACAGTCTTTGCTTAGTTCATTGAGCTTGGGCAAATGTACAATATTTGAACCCATTGGGAGTGAAATTTTCTTATATGAGTTTTTTTTAAGGTATTTAGCACCATAATAATTTCATCTTAAACTCTTTCAAGAAAATTAGAAATGAGCTAATCAAATAATTCAATTCATCATAAGATTTTAAGCATTTGTTCTACTGTATATTAAAATTAACTTAGAAATTTACGTATAATTTACTTCGATAAAACGCCTACATTAGTAAATATATACAGTAGCACCTTTGTCCATGAAGGCTTTTATAATATCTGTAGTAGTATTAATATTATATATAACACTTAATCATAATGATTTTCTATAATAACTATTTTTGTCTCATTTTTCCTCTAGTGGGCGATTGGTGCCCGCAGTTCGGCATTGGAAGTGGCTCGAGCCTTGGCCGAGCGCGGTGCTAAAGCCGATGCGACGTTCGCTGGGTCGCTAGCGCGCGGTCTGCTGCAAAAGCACGCGTCGCGGGGACCTCGGGCTTCCGTGCTCGCTGTAGCGCTGGCCGCGCCGCAGACCAGATTAGCTGTACTTATGTTTCGCGCTGGATCACCGGTTGGTAGAAATTAATCATGTGTATTGGAGTTTGTGTTAACGAATAGATTTTTGTATGCTACATTATGTACATCTTAAAGATGTATTATATTGATAAATATTATATTTCTACGAATAGATCTTAGATATTTCTACGAATATCTAAGATCATTCGTAGAAATGATAGTCTCTGTAGGACAATTTTTAAACCTAGTTGGTTTTTGAATTCATAGCTTCATATTGTATATAATATTGACATAATATTGCCATGCATTTAATATGTTACTCAGTATAATGGTTTTATACTGATATATAGTTTTATTTTTATTGTTGATATAAGTAAATTTCATGAGCAACAATACAACAAAGAAGCTGTTTGCACAATGAACTATTGAATGCTTGAGAGAGTGCACAGTTGCATTCTTCCTTAATTAAATAAAATAATTATGATATAAATTGACTTGGATCGCCAGTTAAGTGCATTATATATAGGTAATAATAAAATGTTAACAAAACAAATGTTACAAAACGCACGACGAGCTAACACAATTTATTCTTCACTTTTAATATTATATAGTAGACGCCTTTAAATACATAACAAACTGACTCATACATAAAAATTCATAGCCATAATTATAAAAATTAAAATGGATCAAAAATTTGTTGACAATGAAAGAAAAACCTTTTATTTTTGATATCCTTTAAGAACTAGTTCAAGTCATCAATTTTATGGTAATATGTATTTTATTTTTTTTAAAAACCGATTTCTTTATTCTATTTTTGTTCCAATTCTGATTTTCTCCAATAGTAATCATGCCTTCTTTCTAACTTCTAACTTTTTTCAAATTAAACTCAACAATTCAAATTATATTTAATTTTCCATTAAATATTTTTAAAATCTGCTTTTTACTTCTATTTTTATGGAAATTCAAATCAACAATTCCAATCATATTTAATTTTAACTTAACATTCCAAATCCTATGTCAGTGTGAGTCAGGCACGCTACTGACTGAGTTATTCCCCCCAGTAATTTATATCTTCTTCTTCAGCTTAAAACTAGTTCTTCGAATAAATTTAGAACTTGCATTTTGAGACACACACTTCATTCAATACATTTTTTCTCTAAAACTCTTAAGGAAATTAGAAGATTTTTCTAATAATGATATAATTCTTAAAGCAATTTTTTAGTTAAAACACCTATAGTAAAACAACCAATTTCAGAGACGGGCTCTTTACTATCGAGAATTTGATATTGCAATTTAGTAATTATGATGCATAATTAATTAGACATAATTAACGTAATAAGAACTGCAAATTAGATATACTTTAATTAGACAAAATTTAGCGATAAAAAATTGTTCTATTAGAGCAATTACACTTCTATCTTTAGATCCAATTATTAATATTTAATTTACTTTAGCAACTTAATACACTACTATGCTTTATATATTTGATTCAAAAAAAAAAAATTAATTACAAAAGTTACTAATTATTGAGTATCATCGTATTGGTCATAATCGTTCTTAATATTTACCTTAAGTTTATTTATTCATGAGGGTTATTTAATTTTTGTTCGTATATTAAAGTGCCAAACAATGTTCAATTGATCACTAAACCTGATGGACAGCGTTATACAAAGCAGTTGTAACATTAGGATGTATTTGAAAATTTGTTGCCAAATGATAATAGTCCTTCTTCAGCATTTCTGAATCAAATGAAGAATTATCGTCATTAAAGTAAATGTAATAACAAAAATATATCTAATATTCTCTATAATAGCCACGACATTGAATTTTACAGGACCCTTAAATTTAGATTTTAACATATATTTTATTTGTTTGAAATTCATTGTATTTGATTAGTTCCTGTTTTATCTATTACATGCTTATAGTATGAGATAACAAAAGAACATGATTCTGTTATTAGCTAATACAGTTAAAATTATAATAGAAATGATAATCATCATCAGATTATATGGTTTGAATTACTGGTTTATTTTTTATTTATGCCGGAAATAACGAGAAAAAAATTAATTATTTTTTAAGATAAAAAAAGGTTTCTACGCTCACATAGCTTAATAAAAAATTAAAAAACATTTTGTTTAGAATTTACGACCAATAAACATCAAATTTTTTATCAACATCCAATAAAACCGCTTCGTCGTATATTGGCATGATTCGACACATATAATTTAATTTACAAATCAAAATTTTATACCATTCTGCTCAAAATATTCATAGCGACATATAAAGAGAAATATTTTTTATTTTTAGCATAAATACAGCACGCTATAAATAACCATGGAAAATGTTCTATCCTCCGGTAGTAAAAATTGCTATAAAATTGAGTACCCAACTCGAGTGTTACATTCTGTCATTCAATATGCCGCGAATGGGACGCGAAAAGCTCTGCATCGGACGTCAGCTTACCGTTCGCCGTAAAATGAATGCCAGTAAAGATTTATAGATGAAAATATAATGGTCTTGCCGAAAATTTAAATATTTTTAAATGTATGCGACTTTCTGCAGAGCATGTTATTCAAATATTGGACTTTTTATATCTTCATGTTTAAATTCCTTTTGACTCTAAGGTAATCCTTAGTGGAATAGATATATTGGTGTGGGTGTTCACTACCCATGATGCCGTAATCATGAATTTTTGTATGCATATATGTGTAGATACAATAATTCTGAAATATTTTTCCAATCTTAATAATACGTAATGGCATATAGCCTGTTCATATTAATGGGCGATTTTTCTGGGTCGCACATGGCGATTTTTCTGGGTCATAGCACTATACTTGCATTTTCATTTTAAACAATTGATTCATTCATAAATCAAGAGTCTAATAAATAATGTCATATATTAGATTTATATCTCCGAGAGCTTTTGTACTTAGATAAAATGATATTTGAATTCTATACTTCAATTGAATTAATTTTTATTAATAACTTACCCTAATTGTGAAGAAACCTACCTGAAAGTTTTTTGATTTGTAGGGATATTATTTAAATCTGTCTAAATTGGGTTATGTTATATTTTTGTTAATTAAAATTATGAACTTTGATTTCCACTAAATTGATCATAAGGTTTTATGATGTTTGATTGGAGTTTATTTGTGTGGGTGTGTGTTATTTAATCACATTTGCTCATATATTGAAGTTTTTCAAAAATTTTATTTGAGTTCATATTTATTTTAATTGTTTGTATTTTATTGTATGTTATCAGTTCATTAATTTGATATATCTACGTTTATAGGACGTTTATAGGACCGGAGGTCTCAGGTTTCTAGGGCATAAATATATTAAATTTTTATTTACAGTGATACTTACGAATATTTTGTTTTAGATAATTGAATTTAATTGCAAAAAATTAGGCGGCAATGTTTATATTAGATTTATATAATTCGGAGCTTACAGTGGTATAATTCTTTTTTTACTTAGTGCTACTCACAAATATTTTATTTTCTTCAGAAAATTGACTTTATTTGCATAATCTTAGATGGAAAAATACAATGTTCATATTAAATTTCCATTTTTTAGATCTTTATATATAAATGAAATGATATATACGTTACCTAATTTAATTAATTAAAATTATCGAAGTAACTATCGTGCTTGCAAGATTTAATTTTTCGAAAGTAATATTTATAATCTTATTGAATTAATATCCATCAAAAATATAATATGACCTAATTCAGGTCATATTATGTTTTTGACATTAAAAATTAAAACATTTTTAATAAATTATTAATTGCCATCGTATTGATCATAATTTTTATAATTCTTATATATTTATTTGTAAGGCAATAAATCATGTTTGCTTTTGTATATCAAAGCACCAAACAATTTTTAGTTTTAGTTTATTGATATTCCTTAGAAATAAATAAACAACTTGTTTTCAAGCAGTACTAGCATTAATTTTCAGTTGAAAATATTGATAGAAATGTTTTGAGATGAAAAAATAGTTTTGCTTCAGCATTTCTAAGTCAAATTAAGAATCATTAGTGTTAAATTAAATTCAATAACAAAAATATATCTAATATAGAGAGCCACGACATTGAATTTCATAGGACCCTTAAATTTAGATTTTGACATATATTTTATTTATTTGAAATTTATTGTATTAGATTAGTTCCTGATTTATCTACTACATGTTTGCAGTATGAGAGCTTTCAGGTCCTTCAAGGCAGAAAAACCTCACATTTTTAGTTTCCTTTTATAATAAACAGATGAAAAATGAATCATTATTTGAAAAGCCTTCAATCTAATACTATACCGGTTATACAGATGGGATTCGGTTTACCGCAGACAGCAAAGGTCAAAAGCGAAATATCGTAGAGTACATATTATTATTTCAGTCAAACAAAATTTTGAAACCGATTTATATCTTGCAGAATTCATCACGTGTGATGAGGGTTTGTCGCTGTTCAGTGACTTTGATAAATGCTTTCTTGCAATAAGGTTGTTTTATATTAGGAATGTTTTGTTAAAAGTTCAACAGCGCAGGTATGATAAATCTATGTATTAATTATCTCTGATGTTACGACTCTAACGAGTTCAGATTAAGGTTTTCGTATTAGTTGAGTCGAATAGAAATTTAGAACTGATTTATGTTCTATGGAACTCGTCACTTATGATGAGGGTACATAACTATCTAGGGAGTTTGATAAATGTTTTGAAGGTTATTTTATATGTTGAATTTCAGATTACTGGTACATCAAAATCTATATATTATGAAACACACCTCGTAGTGTTCATATAAGCATCTAAGTAACCATATTAAATCAAATTAATGTTTCATGATATGTCTATTAAATAATAATTGATAAGAAATATATGTATAAATAGATATATATATATATATATATATATATATATATATAAATTTTAAATAATCCTGATTAAATTTTTTTTGGTGTGCATATTTATTGTCAATCAAAACATAGTCCTAATTTTGTCTACACAATTTAATACATTTTTTTAATGGAGGGCCTCTTAAACTAGTAGATCAATTTTAAA